TTTACAGAGAAAAGCAATTTAAATTCAAAATACAATTGAATAATTAAAATAAACTAGGAGTAACTGGTCAAAGGATCTGAGAGGTCTGGGTGTATAATACAGACTGAAATCAGAGATGTAAACTTGTGCAAGTCCATGCAGTGTTTTGAAAAAACAAGTGAGGTCCATAAAAAATGTTTTCTCCAGTTTATTGAAAAGGAACTTGACCAGTCTGCACAGAGTCCTGCGTGCAACCTAATCTAACACCTTTGGGATGAACTGCAACGCCAGCTGTGTGTCAGGCTTTATCTCCAAGCATCAGTGCCCAACTGAATGGGAGCAAATCCCTGCAGCCAGGTTCCAAAAATCAAAGGCTTAGAAAGCTGTTATAGCAGCATATTAAGGCCTGTGGATTCAGAATGAAATCTTCAGCAATCACATATGGGTGTAAATGTTTGGGTGTCTACTTTTGGCCATGTAGAGTGATTCAATCAATAAAGAGAAGAGTGAAATAGAGTGACTGAGTCAGTGAGTTACCGGCTTGTCTCAGTGTGTGAATCAATCAGTTGCAAATGGATCTACTTCACTTCCCCGCAGATGCATTATTGACAAAATGCTCTGTATTCTTCCTGAGCTTCAATCTCCCTTTCACAATTACTAAAACTTCCCCACAATATTGCCTGGCAGTCATATAGCTAGTAATTGTGAAGTAAATCCTCAACACACTAACTGTTAATGTAAGGACCAGCACAATTAATCTAAGCCAGGAGCAAGTGGCTAATTTAATTCACTTTTAGTGTCTTTTTAATTACCGGCATAATTGCTGTGATGGAATGAGGAATCCCAGCACTCAAGGTCTAAAACTGGAGCGCGCTGCGTGCATTAATTAGGTTAGCCAGTGGTGGAGTCGATCTTTATGTCACATTCATTCAGATAGTGCATCTCACAACAAAGAGCAATTTTGCTGGGATCTCATCTAACCAAGGACGTATTGATTACATCTCCATCTAATGTTGTTTTTTTTATCCTCCTGATCTATGACCTGTTAGGATGGATTGTGAGAATAGTTATGATGTAATGTTGGTAAAAGCATCCTTATATTTTCACTGCATCATTGCCTTGGTAGATGCTGATGGTGCATTATAAATACTCACTAAATGTTTCCTGTGGATCATGTGATAGATATTGTCTCTCAGGACATCGCTGCCACCTTGAAGGTCCTGTACGCCCTGTTCAAGAAGCACAAAGGTAAAAAATGAGAGGCAAGTGAAGAGGAAGTCATCAACCAGAAATACAGAGAGCTTAAGAGAGGTGGAGTGTTTGGTCAGCTTGTGGTTTCTTTGGTCTCTAAACTGTTTCAAATGCAAACGTACATGTAATTATTTCAAGGGGGACGTTTGACTGTTTATAGGCATTTTTCTGATGGTCTCATGCTAATTTAAAATAAGTGCAAGAAACTTAAATAGTCTTAACAGGTCACGGATGATCAAGGATAGCACTTTCTAAGATTAAGCATTTATGACAGCAAAATTTTGGAGTTTGTGGGGTCACTGTGTTTGGAGTGTGGGGAGGTGGAAAGGGGCTTACTTCAAATGGCAAAATATAGACTATTAAATGACACAAAACAATAGGATAAAATCTAAATAATGCACAAGCACCAACACAACTCACTAAAAAACCACATTCTGTGGTCTACAAACAGCAAGACAAGAGAAGCAAACAACAAAGGATAACTAGATATGCGTGTAAAGAACGCATTGCATATTTCATTCGCCACCATGGGTATTGGTATTGGGCCAATTAGTAAGTCCCCTATGTATGCCTTAATGGTCTGTTGTTGACAGTGTAAGGACAATAAGGGCTGGAGTATACTCTATCAGAGGTAGGTCGCATGGCATGTTGTTAAAAAAATACCTGTTTTGAACAGTCATGCTCCAGGGTCAAAAGCCAGTCAGAGTCATCGAGAGGGGGCAGACTCAATGTCCTTTAAAAGTGGGGATAATGGCGCACATTTTCACAGTCTCTCCTGGGAGACATTCATAGTGTTGCACTCGGTTTTTCACATGAAAAGTGAGAATGGAAAAAGAGTTCAAACCCTGGCTCCTTTCTCACCTCCGCTCAGCTGACCAATCACTGTGTGAAGTGGGTGTGAATGTGAATGAAGCTATTCGAACGTTCCAACAAGCACTTCTGATAGAGTATACTGGCCCCTTAAAACCACCTTTTGTTTTCCTTTCAGATATTTTAAATTTGGTTTGCATTCAGTCAAAATGCACGTGGTGTAGATGTTCGTGCAGCCAAGTGTTATTTCCTAGTAATCGCTTCCTCTCTTCCCCTCTACATATTTGCTCTTCATTCTGACACTGCTCGAACATAGTACTTTACATTTTTGCTATAGAAAAACCATTGTCCTTGACTGCCACTCAGACAATAAACAATGTGAATTTCTCTCTCTGCTTCTTGTGTGTGTTCCGACTGACAGCCTGTGACCTCCTCTCTGTGAATGCAATTGTCATTTCTCAGAAAAATTGTGGGACTATTTTTTTTGCTATTGAATTGTTCTGAACCGAAGGTCCCACACATGTAGAGAGGTTGCAGCAGGCAGCGATAGAGGGAGGCACAGAGAATGAGAGACAGACAATAGATGTGATTCCATCAAAGCATATTTTGCTAATTATGAGTAGAAATAAAAGTTGACTAGAACTCGGAAAAAAAAGTCCACTTAATTATCCTCTGTGTTGCAAAGAGGGGTAATTTCTCTGCTGAAAAATAACTTTATGCAAACCATTAGTGACTTTTTTTCATCAGCAAGTTCCTTCTTGTTAAATAATAATATCTCTTTACCAGTGCTGCCTCTCTGGATTAGTTTTGTGGATGTAGTTTGTGCATTAGCAAATTACAGAGTGAATGTCTTTGTTTTTGTCTCGAGGTTAAAGTATATAATGTAGGGAACACGAAGCGGTACACCAATCACTGTTATGCTTTTTTATTCTAACAGTTATCTTGCAGATGTGTTTGTTGACATTCAGGAAGCCAATTTATTCGTTTCCACCAAGGTGATGGAAAATACTCTAAATTCACATTTTATTTCCCCTGACATTTAAAAAAAAACTTGCTAGGCAGCCAGATGGAAATGTAGCTACTGTATAGAGCGAGGGACAAGCAGAGACAGAGATAGAAAGAGACAATGAGGTGTGTGTTGCTTTTGTTCATCATTTAAATTGGCCATTTCAGTGGACGGTTAAAGTATTATGAAATAAAAATGGCTTTTATTTTGTTTTCCAATTTACAGACCATGAACTCCTCATGCCAAGTGATTGTAAACTAAATTTGTTTGTTGAAAATCAAATTGCACATTGCTTTATGAAGGGCAGTATCCATTGTAGTACCTGGTCAAACCATGAATGAACACAGCTGCAATAAGCATTTTAATGCTTCTCAAATACAAACTGTAAGGTTATTTCATGGTTACATGTTACACATAAGTCATATATGTTTGCTCTAACATTAGGTGGTCCATACAAACATTTAGCACTGTCTTTCTGAATAAACCAATGTTGAGCTTGACATCAAGTTGTATGTGAATGGAAAAATGTTATGATGAAATTGTTTATATTTACTGAATGTTTACTGGAGGGTTTTGACCTCGGGTACAGTCTTTGTCAAGGTTGCTTGGATATGCTTTCAGGGCATAAATTGTATTTTTGGTGAAATAAATTGTTAAAACCTCAGTGCAAATGTCCTTCCTGAAAGAAAGTGTTTGTGCAGCGACATCCAACCCTTCTAATAGAATCTGTAAATGACATGGATTTAACTGTATTCATGAAGCTATACAAAAACCTGACCTATTCTTGATCTCTTTTATCACAGGGAGCAGGTCTTGTTTCCCATTTATCTGCTTTCCTGATACGATAGATGATTTTTTAAACACCATTCTAACTTCTATGTGTTGATACTGTGAATATTTGTGCTTTTAAGCTTGCTACCATGAATCAATAGATATGGATGTAAACATGTTCAGGACAATGATACAAGCTGGATAAATCACAGGACAGCATGTGCAAATATTTGAGTGTCTTTGGGACACACAACAACATGAGTGAAAGTCAAGAGAGATTAATGAATTTTAGCTACTGTGTGCATATCAGCAAAAAGGTCAGAGCTTAGTCTGTCATCAGGTTCTAATCCATCAGAACAAACAGGATAAATTTCAGGATAAACATTTGAGGGATTAAACCTGTTCTGCTCCAGCGACAACACCCTCTTCTTCTTCTATTAGGAGCCCACATCACCACTGACTCCTCAACATTATAAAACAGTTACTGCATAGGAATACATAACTTATATTTCCTATTAAGCAAGGTCTGAGAATAGTTTAGAAATCATTAATACAATTTTGAAACTACTGTGACTATATTTTATTGCTTGGGGTTTTATTTTTTTTTTATTGCCACACCAAAGGATTTCTCATAAACTGACCACTTGTTTCAGAGAAAACAAATGCTGTCTCTCTGCATAGAAACCAACTAGAGTCCATCTGAAATGTTGACAGGAAACATGAGTAATATCTGCCTCCCTTGTCACACTGAGCAGATGCATCTCTCTGTGTATGAAAAGGGGAGCAGAGCTAACAGCAGCATCAGTGAGTATTTAGCTGCTGTACTAAACACGTACATATACGATATGCCAATAGATCCTCCTAAATGTTGCACACTGGATCTTTAACTGTACGGCTGAATTAAGCCGAACAGTTGGTCGGAGATGTGTTTAATGCAGTCAAATTTCTTTGTATAGAATATTTTGTACACTGAACATTACTCAACATGAAAAAGACACAAGATACATACATTTAAAATAACTTTGTATATTGTTAAAGTGGCTACTGGTGGTGACAACTGACTCTGTAGTTCCCCTCAACTCTACAGAACTTAATCTCATTGTTTGGTTTTACTGACCAACAACTTTACGGTTTGATTCATCTGCATCAATTCCAGCCACAGCAAGTAGCGGTTGTTAGTGAAAGCTGTGATAAATCCACTATACCTTACAACTAAATGGCAGACAGACAATGTTAGAGTTGGTGGAAACCAAACGGAGCCAAAAGGAGAGTAAATACTGTACTTTATCGGGTGAATATAAGTAAATCAGTAAATAGGCAACTGGTTCCTAACATGTTACCATATCAGCGTTCTAAGGTTATATAATATGTCAGTGTGATGTTTACAGGTTGTTTCTGTTATTGAGGATTTAAGGGGTCTTTTGCTTTGGGTGACACAGAGGAACCTTTAGAGACCTACAACCTCCCCAGTTGCAGGACTGTTCAGAGCACCAGCTTACAATATCCGACTATTTCACTGTTCCCTTGTTCATAATCGGTCTTGCAGCAGTGTTAAATAATAACAAACATTTAGTGTGCCGCTACACTGAAGAATCATTATGGAGGTTATGATTATGTTTCAAATGCGCTCACTGTAGAGCAGGAAGGCAGAGGAGGAGGTGTGTATGAAAACTGCAGGAGAGAAATCAGCATTCACTGTATTTACGAGAAAATGATAGTCTTGCTACAAAAAGTGGTAATTTATGATCAGGTTTCAAAAGCTTAAACTAAATTGTATCAGAAGTTACCACATTAGGTCAATCTATTTCTTTGAAAGTAAACAAAGGCCCATACGCTGAAGATCCTGAATATAAAGCGACCATGTTGCCATTTTATACATGATCTCTGAAAAAAATCAGTTTCTGCCATTAAAAAATAGTCCATTGGTGACATTTGAATTCTGCCAAAAAAACAAAACAGAAAAACCCAAACAAAGAACACAGCCCATTATTTTCTCCCAAGAGTGAGCTTGTTATTTGTCTGAAAATAAATTATACTGAATATCCACACTTACTCTGTGGTGCAGTGACCTCAGAGGATATAATGAAGAGTGATTTAAACTAAGTTCTGTTTACCCTTGCTTACAAACTACCGATCCTCCTGGGGGAAACTTGTCCTCTACATTTGACCCATCCTCAGTATTTATAGTGGGCTGGAGCCTTTAGCAGCAGATACCAAACATGGCGGTCTTTTTAAGAGATACAGCATGAGGACAGAGAACAGAAAAGGACCAGTAGTGAGAGACCCAGGACTTTCTTACTGCAAAGTCATATAGTGCTGTTTAACCACCACACTGTTACACTGAAAAAAATTTTGAGTGTTA